TCTAAATATTTTGAACAATTTTATGGCTTCAAATAAATATATTTTAAACGTAATTGCATGCCTTCAGCAACAGATAAAATGTATTGTTGGTCATACTATAAAATTTTATTTTAATGCTTTCATAGTATTTTGTTTTCACTATTTTTCGATAGCTGGAACGCTAACAGGTGATACAACCCCGGGTCAGAGTGGACCTGAGATTAACAGTAATTCAGAAGTGGTTCCACGCTACTCAAAAACACCAATCTTCCGATCAGAGACCTTGCTTCCAGATAGAGTTTATCCTCATACCCAGGTCTGTGGGATATCGAAAAATTTCTTTCAAAAGCTAAGCAAAGTATTAAGAAACAAAAAGAAACATTTCATTAGAAACAAAGAAAAGAGTGCTGATCTGTTGTGTAATATTAATCCTCCTACATGATAGTGAATGCTGGACAATCTTCTTTAAAATGAAGAAAAGGCTTGAAGCAACAGAAATTTGGTTCTACAAAAAGATGCTGAGAATGCGATGAACAACAACGAAGTTTTAGAGACAGCGACAATTTTTAGTGCATATAATGAGGAAAGAGGCTTGGAAAATTTGATACTCACAGGACCGATTGAAGGCAAAAGGAACAGAGGAAATAACGAATAACCTACTTAGTGAACTTCAGTAAATGGATGGCGGGACGAGGTTTAGGAGAAATAACAAAAAGACAAAATCTACAAAGGACATAAAATTGTTTTTACAAAAATGTTCAGCCTGTACAAGGTGTAAGAGCCACTCGAGGTAGAGAGTTAAAGAATAAGAGGCACAATTTATAGGGATATTTGGGGATGGTAAATGGTTAACCCTAGATTTAACAAGGTTAAGATTGTAGTGATCGAGGTAGTATCCACTTGGGAGTCGGTTCCAGAAACCAGCGGAAGAAGCTGCACGAATGGAACGGTGGCATACCGGGGGAATGAAGGCAGTTCGCTACAATGTGATTGGCATGTCACGTCTTAGCCGTAGAGGTTAGAACTGGTGGAACTAATGAATGTAGTTCGAACACTTTCCATGAAATTGGCGATAAAGCAACGAGAGGCTTGCGACGTTTCGCCTATGGTAAAAGCGTTGTAGGGGGGGGGGGGAAATAATTCATCACCTACAAGGACGAGGAGGGACTTTTGAACCAAGAATGGAAAGATAAGACTGGGTAGCTCTTGCTTGTATATGGCACCAATATGTTTTCGGGTGTGGTAGCACTTTTTAGAGTCCCAGCTATGGGCAAATAGTGAAGACCCAAACATCAAAACTGTAGGAAAGTATAACAATACGTTTTTATAGAAAAAACATTAGCAATACATTTCTATAATAAAATATCCAACGATACACTTTATCATCATCAGTTCAGTTATGTGCCATGCGTGATACACGCTTATGCGATCATGTATCTTTCGATACATGACTGACTAGGCAGATTTTTCCCCGCAGTAGGTTGTCATTTCTTTCTTCGGTAGATCAGTCGCCATCCAAGGCTGTAGAAGACGGTAACCCGGTCTGTTCTGCTATTTACCCATAGCTGGGGGAAGTCAGTTATGTGCCATGCGTGATACACGCTTAGGCGATCATGTATCTTTCGATACATGACTGATTTTTTTCACGCAGTAGGTTGCCATTTCTTTTTGTGGTAGATCAGTCGCCATCCAAGGCTATAGAACCCGGTCTGTCCTGCTATTTACCCATAGCTGGGGGAGAAGAAGAAGGGTATTAGCACGTAAATGAATGTAATGGATTCGATTAGAATTCGACTCTCCGATTCCTCACCCGAGCCGCTATCCATTACTACACCCTCCTTCCTTTTATCATATATATATATATATATATATATATATATATATATATATATATATATATATATATATATATATGTACTATATTTCTAAAAAAAACATGCGTTTACTCAGAAAGTATAAAAATTATGTACAAAATATCTGTAGTTGAATGCATAAAATTGCGTTCAAAACATTTAGCTTTTGGCATTAAATAAACCATAGTGATTGATACGCAGCTGAACAAAATTAACCTATCAAAATACTCTATTTGGGGCGTGATAGCTCCTGCCCATATATGGCATTAGTACTCCATCACAGGAGGATTAATGTAAAATATTAAAGATTGTGCCTCGTGTTATCATTCATCATATACAATACTTATACATCATTACACTATAAATATTGAGGTATTTCGAAACTGTCATATGGTTCATTTATAATTGAGATAACCTTATGAATCCCGAAATAGTCGAAGGCTACGTGACTCTATTCTATTCTCATCTAGATCCAAATACCGACAGCAGATTATCTGCTTGACTTTGAGTTTTATCCAATTCCATTCCAAAAAGGAATGAATTTTGAGCTACTTTCAACAGAAATTATTGTTGTTGTGGGATCAGAAAGGGAGTGTCTTTAAAAACATTTGCGTGTAAAAATAACGGTATATAAAACAACATGGAAGATTGGGAACCAAACCTTGTTCATATTGGATTTTTTTCAGGTTTACTTTTTCAAACTTTTATAACTTATAAGTTATTTTTTGATTCGGGATTCAGATGCAGTAACAGAAGACGATTCTTCGATCATTTTGTTCTTTTTGCTCCATTCCATTCAATCAATTAAACGTGTCGTCTGTCACTTTTCCTTTAACTTCAGCGGAAGGTCTGCCGTAAAATGGCTGACATCACAACAGAAGAAAAAATAAAATAATAAAAAACGTGCACTGAATCTCTAAATAATGACGAAATTTAAATGAAGTATTACAACGGAAATTAAAAACAAAATCCATGGAGCCAAGAAATTTTTGGGACTCTTTTCCCTTTGAGCTGTTTCGTTGTTTCTATTTTGTCAATTAAAACAAAAATAAACTGTGCTGTATTATCAAATGCAAAATGTTCGTTTTATTGTTTGTCGTTTTAAAAGACTTTTGCTCTGTTTTTGCTTCAGTGTAATTGTAAATATTTTTTTTATTTTCTGGAAGTAGACGCCACATCAAATCTAATTAGGCAGAAGAGTCCGTTTGTTCATTCGCACTGTGTAACTTTGTAATAACTGATTTCCTGTAAACATTATTTCTTCTTTCTTTGCTTCCTTTCTCCTTGTCATTTCTTCGTTCTCCTTTCTCTTCCTAGTTTTTCCCCATTTTCACGTTCTTCTTTCATGACTTTTTAAATCTTTTTTTTTATATACTATGCGGCGTTTATTTCTTGTATCGCTTTTATGGATGAATTAGCTTCTTTTTCTCAAATATTACTTTTTAACTATTTTATTTTTATCTTTTATCATGAAAATGAAGAAGAAGAAAGTAAGTCATCTATAAAAAGATGACTTACCTTCCTCTTTTTTTATCTTCTTCGTTCTGATTTATTATCATTGTTTCCTTTTCCTTATATTTTTATTTTAAATTTTGTCATTTTTGTGGATGCATTGTTTCTATTTCTTCTTCTGAAATAAAAAATAAATAATAAAGTAAAAATAAGGAAAAAAAGAAGGAATGAGTCCTTTTTTTCCTTATTTCCTTTTACTTTAATATTTCCCACTTTTATGGTTGAGGTATGAACCCACCTCTTCTCCCCACAGCTATGGGTTAATTAATAAGACTTCTATAACTAAATCGCTTATTGTTTGTCGTTCTAAAAGACTTTTGCTCTGTTTTTACTTCAGTGTAATTGCAAATATTTTTTTTTATTTTCTGGAAATAGACGCCACATCAAATCTAATTAAGTAAAATTGTCGAAAAATGTCTTATAATATAAAAATATATTCTGGCTTTAAATAAACTGCAAGAGGTTGATAAACCTTAAAAAAAAAAGAGAAATCAATCAACTGAAATGATGTGGGCATGTCTGAATTCAAAACCAACATTAGAAATCTTGACATTAGCTTCTAACAACAGTAGACAGTTTTTTAATGCCAGATTTCACCCAATCCACGGCTTTGGTGCCGCTCAATGTAGCGGGTTACTGTTAAAATGGAAATAATGAAAGAGGTGTGTGATATGAATAAAGGGATATGATATATGTTTGCAACATTCTGTCTGTGTGAAAGAGACTACATTGTTAAAAATATGTCCCCACCACACGGCAAGAGAGTGCAACTGATTTTGAAATATATCATTTCTAGAAATTGAGGATTGAGCAACTCCTATTCCAATATGGAAGCAATATTGTATTTTTACCAATTTCTTGTAAATGTAAAGTATGGCATAAAGAGCCAGGAACTTCTTGGAGGTACGGAATAAGCCAACCATTTTATCAGCATTTTTCGAAATACAGGGTGTCCCCCACTAATAAATTGACATCATTTTGTAGTCTAATAACATAGACAATTTTCGCTCAAATTATCCCAAATTTTAACAAAATGTTTTAAAACTAAGTCGACTCTGCGGACTTATGTCAATGAGAATTTCACAGGAATATGGATCGGGCGTGCCAGTAATAATGTCAATTTGCTATTGAAATGGGCACCACGTTCACTGTTGACACCTTGTGATTTTTTCTATGGGGCTATGTGAAAGGACATTCCCCTTTTCATACAAGCCTATAGGAACTTAATTAGAGAATCACAGACGTGCCGGGAAATGTTATGCAAGACATGCTGCAGCGTGTTTGGCAGGAGCTGGACTACCGACGTGTGTCGTGTCACAGGTGGTCAGCATTTGTGAAATCGGTTATAAGATTTACATCCCTTTGAATATCTTGTTCGAATTTTGATAAATAAATCTTTTACTGTTCTAGATGAAGCCTATTTAATTTCATTACTAAGATATTCACATTTTAATTTGCGCCCATTTTTGGAGGACGCCAAGTAGATTGTATATATGAGTTCAACTTGAGATCTGGAGTGAATTTGAGACATAAAATACGTTCGAAGCATGAAGCTCATTTAGAGTGAAACCATTCATCGTGGCTGGAGAAGAAAACTCAGTGTCTGAACAAAAACGATGAAACGAAATATACGCTACTTTCTCGGTTACGGAACAGGAATTTCTTTCTTTTTTTCTTTCTTTCTGACTCCTTTCATTTAAATAATTTCTTTCTTTCTTTCTTTCTTTCTTTCTTTCTTTCTTTCTTTCAATTCGCATCGTTTTCTTCCACCAATGTCTTTCTTTCTTTCTTTCTTTCTTTCTTTCTTTCTTTCTTTCTTTCTTTCTTTCAATTCGGATCGTTTCCTTCCACCAATGTCTTTCTTTCTTTCTTTCTTTCTTTCAATTCGGATCGTTTCCTTCCACCAATGCCTTTCTTTCTTTCTTTCTTTCTTTCTTTCTTTCTTTCTTTCTTTCTTTCTTTCTTTCTTTCTTTCTCATTTCATTTCAATAATTTCTTTCTTTCTTTCTTTCTTTCTTTCTTTCTTTCTTTCTTTCTTTCTCATTTCATTTCAATAATTTCTTTCTTTCTTTCTTTCTTTCTCATTTCATTTCAATAATTTCTTTCCTTCCTTCCATTTTCTTTCTTTCTTTCTTTCTTTCTTTCTTTCTTTCTTTCTTTCTTTCAATTCGGATCGTTTCCTTCCACCAATGTCTTTCTTTCTTTCTTTCTTTCTTTCTTTCTTTCTTTCTTTCTTTCTCATTTCATTTCAATAATTTCTTTCTTTCTTTCTTTCTTTCTTTCTTTCTTTCTTTCAGTTGCCTGTTTTCTAACAATTCTGTCGGTCTTTGCAAATTATTTTTTCAGCGTCTTCCAATCAAATTTTCACATTCCTTCTATTTTTTAAAAATCTATTTTCAAACTGCATTTTCATGTTTCCGTTTTAATTTTTTGGTTTTGCTTTATCTTCATTTTCATAATGTTTCCTTTTTTAGTTTATTCCCTCCCAGTGATCTTCCGCTACAAACGAATCTATTTGATCGCATCAATATCAGTGCTTAATAATGCTTAAAGATTATTTCAGAGGATTAGATGTCTCTCGGATGGCGGCCATATTATTACTTTTGTGTCACCATTTTTAAATAGAACTTAATTTATTCAAATAAAAAATAAACAAACATCCAGAAATGAAAGTATTCCTAATTTCATAAATGTTAATATTTACACAACGCAAAGAACATTTTCTCAACATTAATAACGATTTAAATTGTCTTTTACAGATTTGAGGTTTTCCATTACATGACATATTTGAGATCTATCTATCTATCTATCTATCTATCTATCTATCTATCTATCTATCTATCTATCTATCTATTAACCTTAGTCTATTCATATCTATTTTCTATCTATCTACCTATCTATCAGCCTTAGTCAGTTCATATCTATCTATCTATCTATCTATCTATCTATCTATCTATCTATCTATCTATCTATCAGCCTTAGTGGATTCTTATCTATCTATCTATCTATCTATCTATCTATCTATCTATCTATCTATCTATCTATCAGCCTTAGTGGATTCTTATCTATCTATCTATCTATCTATCTATCTATCTATCTATCTATCTATCTATCTATCAGCCTTAGTGGATCTGTATTCATCTATCTATTATCTATCTATCTATCTATCTATCTTAGTCAGTCTATATCTATCTATCTATCTATCTATCTGGTCAGTTATCTATCTATTAGTCAGTTCATATCTATCTATCTATCTATCTATCTATCTATCTATCTATCTATCTATCTATCTATCTATCTAAAATTTTACATCCACTTCAAGATACCGTCGGCAGTTATGAAATATATTTTTTACAGTCGTGGCCCAAAGTTTAAAATCACAAAACTTTTCAACAAAAACCAGCCTAAATCTTAATAGCTTACACATAAAAGGTTGTACTCAATGCAAAACATTTATCAAAATCGGTTTAATTTTATTAATTTCGATGTAAAGCAGTATTTTCTATGGCCACCTTTTGCCTTGATAATCACTTCAATACGATAAGACAAGCTGACTATGGAACACTCATACTATTCGGCTGAAATCCCTGTGCTTCAGTCGTCCTTGATAGCATTCACAATAGACTTGTCATTACCCGGCCGTTTGTCTGCAACCTTATTCTTGAAAACTGCATTTTTGCTACAACACATGTGGAATGATTTCAGTTCTGATTACCCAACCTCGTGCAATGTTACTATTTGGGCTTTTTGAATGACTGACACTGACGATTTTTTCTAACGTCTAGTAGCATGCTGAAAAATATGGCATCACAGCTTTTAAATTAGTCAAAACTTTATTTTACATCGTTTGAAACTTGAGAATTATGTCATAGGTTTGTTTATATTAACTAAAATTGCATGATGCAATATCCTACAATAATTTCTTTCATGTATTTCCTCTAGTATTTTGAGTTTTTTCTTGCAGTGAGCGTCGTATAGTATTTTGATATGATCTACAAATATTTGTAATGATCAATATGTGCTGGAATTTCTGTAAGTTTCGACAAGTGACAAGTCAACCTACGAAAGAGTGCGTTCTGTGTTTAGCCAATGTAAAAAAATAAATTTCTTTTTTGATGGTTGATATTGAAGATACAATGTCTCAGATAACATGAGAATTAAACAGCTTCTTTTTTTTTTTTAGAATAATAAATAATGTCGGAATTTTCAAAATTCCTTTCCTATTTTACATTTAACATGTCTTGTGAGTGTATTAAATTTCTAAATCCTCTTTCCTCATTATGTGCCCTAGAAATTTCAAGTGTCTGATTCTAAGTATAAATGTCCATTTTTTTCTGTTTCCTTTAAAACTTCCTCGTTGCTCACATGTTCGGTTCAAGGTATGTTCAACATCCTTCTGTATATCCTTGTTTCCATGAGCTGTGATGCAGCGAAACAGAGTGTCTGTGGACGACACATAAATATATGCCCCCGAAAAAATAAAATTCGATCGAACACTTTAGAGGGAAAAGCGCGAATTTGTAATCAGAGACTGCAACTGCTGATGCAAAAGCTCTTCTGTGAATTGAGCCCACTGAGTCAGTGGAGTGTTTATTCAAAAATAAATACGTCAAAATTCGCCTTTATACCAGGAGCTGATAGCTCAGGGGGAAAATCTCTGACTGATGCCAAATCGCTTGGGTTTCAATCTTGGCTTGAGCCAATCGGATTTTTTAAAATTCCTTTAAAAGCTTTCTATATGTGTGTATGTGTGTGTGATCCACAGACAGACTGTTTCACTGTATCACAGCTCATCAGTGACGCAAGAAAAAGAATACGTATATAAATGCTATTCTTATCAAAGAAAAAAACAATTCACTACGTCTTAAATGTCTAGGGAGCACCTTAATCCCAAGATCATCTTCAGTAAATTTGCACCCTGGCTCTTGCAACATTTCGCCATTCCTAGAAGATTTTCTAATATCATAGTGTGGAATATCTACTCACAGAAGTGATGGAAAGCAAAAGCAAAAGTCACTAAATTAATTCGGTTAGATAAAAACATCCCTTTGTTGTGCGCATGTGTAGTCCCAACAACAAATGAAATTTGGTACGTTGAAGTCCTGAAGGATGAAACGCGTAAATATTTATCTTGATATATGAAAATATATATTGTTTGTTTATATAAATATATATATATATATATATATATATATATATATATATATATATATATATATATATATATATGAAAATTTCTCCGATTTAACCAGTAGAGAAGACAATATTTATGAATAAAAATGACAATAGGAAAATGCTAGGAACATTCTGTTTTTGTTTTTATTAGTTACATTGTTCAATTAATTTCATTTCCTTTTCTTGCTTTGATAAAGTCCACATTGGACGAAACGCGTCAGCGATTACTAGTTTTCCTATTGTCATTTTTATTCATATATATATATATATATATATATATATATATATATATATATATATATGAGGTCATCCCATATGTTCTGTCCAAATTTTAACTTTTTCTTAAAATGAACGAAATTTAAAGAGTACTTTATAATGTCTAATGGAGCTGAACATTATTTTTGTGTTTAGACGCATTTAAACTGATCAAATTTTATTTCAGTGAACAATAAAATTAAATTTTGTTTGATTAAAACCCTGCTAACATGGAAGAACCCAAGAATCATTTGAGGCACATAATGCTTTATGAGTTCAAGAAAGAAAACTCAGCAGCCGAAGAGGCTAGAAACACTCACTCAGTTTATGGAAAGGAATGTGTGAATAAAAGAACTTGCAGAAGATGGTTTGCAAAATTCAGAGGTGGATATTTCACCCTTGAAGATGAAGATCGAACCGGACGTCCAGTTGAGTTTGATGAAAAGCTTTCTTGAAGCAGCCATTGAAGAAAATCCTGCTTTATCAGTTGAGGAATTGGCAGTGGTTCTCAGTTCAAATCATACAACTGTTCATCATCATCTTCAACAACTTGGAAAAGTTCCTAAACTTGGAAAATGGGTGCCTCATGAATTGTCTGAAAACAACCTCAAATCCCGAGTCTTCTCTTCTCTCCATTCTCGCCAACTTGTTTCACCTTTTTTGGATAGACTTGTGACTGGCGACGAAAAATGGATCTTTTATCGAAATGTTAAGCGTCGTAGACAGTGGCTTGGCAAAGGGGAAGGACCCCAGCCACAGCCGAGAAGGGAACTTCATGAGCAAAAGGTTCTTCTTTCAATCTAGTTGGATCGCCAAGGAATAATCCATTTTGAATGCTTACCACCTAATTCAACAATTAATGCTCAAATATACTGTCAGCAATTAAAGCGTTTCAACCAAGCTTTGAGGAAAAAAAGACCTGCTCTAGTGAATCGAAAAGAGGTGATGTTTCATCAGGACAATGCGCGACCCCACACAGCAAGTATCACGTTACAAAAGATCGAAGAACTTGGTTGGGTGAATATTCCTCATCCACCTTATTCTCCCGATCTTGCTCCTTCAGACTAACATCTGTTTCGTAGTTACAGAATCATTTGGGAGAAACAGCTTTTGTAACACAGGAAGAGGTTAAAACTGACATTTGTGAGTTCTTCGAATCAGAGTCAAAAAAATTTTACAGTAATGGAATTAGTAAGCTTGTTAATAGATGGAAAGAAGTCAAGATAATCAGGGAAAATACATTGTTGATTGAATCTGTAATTAAATGTAACATTTGGTCACTTGTTTTCTTTATTCAAAATTCGGACAGAACTTATGGGATGACCTGATATATACATGCGTGTGTGCATACCGGGTGTTATAACAGTAAAATTGTCCAAATCGTGCAATTGCAGGGGATAATTGTCCATCCCACAAAATGTTTAATGTCTAAAAAAAAATCACTAAACTAATTGAGTTTCTTTTTCCCCCATGTTTTCAGGTAAGACGTTTAGCCATCCTTACACCATTTGTCGTACGAGTCATTGAAAAACCGTTTGAGTTATTTAACTAGAAAGAGAACAAATTAACGTCATTTTGTGTCAGCCGCACGATGTCTTCCCAACTGAGCAATGGTGAGACGAAAAATATCATTCAGCCCTTCAGTATTTGATACCAACATCCATATTC